TAGGCAATACAAATACTTCTTCCGGTCCGGGAGTCGAACCTGGGACTTCTTGTGTGGCGCAGTCCAGCATGGTAACCGTTCGGCCACAGAGCCAGCTATTATTCTTGCTTGGCGGCAGAAATAGGTAAGGTGGCACTTCTCTGAATGAACTTTTTCACAGGGTTCTCTACTGCTACTTGCAAGAGCTAAGCGGGTTACTACCACCGATTTTTGTCGTCCAAGTACGCAGAAGTCGTGTAATAAACATTCAGTATAACGTTTTTATTTCACTATAGTCTTAAACCTCGTGAATGATAAGTTTTGAATATCAACCGGAATCTAATTATAGACGCGTATACAGTGGCCCATGAATTTGTGACTTTGTGGAGACGACTTTCAAGAATAAAGAGGCGAGGCTGGGAGGACGACTGTAAAAAAGTAAAGAGTTCACGACACAAACCTAACATTAAGTCTTTAATACCTCTTTAAGTTCAATAAAATATGTCAGGGGTCTGCACGACACGAATGAATGCAAATTAAACTAACAATTAAAATTATGTTATTAATGATTTCTTTTGAACAAAAAGAAAATCTTCCCAGCTGATATGGAAATGGAATATTTAAACACATGATAAAGGCCGTAACTCACAATGGTCGTGTCGCGGTCGTGTTGTGTTATGGTAACACTAAGGCCATTTCTCATCTCTGTAAAATATGGGTACTTCGATGTTACGCGGTACAATAAACAGGGGAATTTTGAATGGTGTTTTAATAGAGGAAGCTAGAATAACGAAATATTTTTTTCGGATCCAAGTCGCGTACATTTGTTTTTTTATAGCCAGTCATGACCATATGATCTTTAAAGAGCCCAAAAGTTCTTAGAAAAAAACAAATATACGCGATTTAAATCCAAAAATATTATTTCATTTCCAATTATACAACACTTGTAATTTTTTTTTTCAGAAGACGCAGAAGTTGGAATATTGGTACACAGTGTAAAATCAAATTAAGTAGGTAATGTGGACAAAAAGTTTACTTTTATTTCTCATTTTGCTCAGTGCTTAGCTATACATCGCCAGACTGACCAGACGGTCTACTTGAATGATATGACTTGAGAATGTGAAAATAAACTTATTTAGACAAAAATAGGCTAAAGGTCTATCCTACATATCCGGGCCGTGCCCGGGACGTAGACGTGCTCCGTCAGGGGCTCAAAAAAATATCGTTGCCTATATTTTGTATGAACTCGTTCACACATGTCCGTGTCCGGGCCGGCGCCGGGACGGGTCCGTAGTTCATACAAACTAGCACGCCCCGTCCACGTCCCGGTCACGGCCCTGATGTGTGTGGATAGTCCTTAATACGTTTGAATGCATGAATGAAGTATTTATTGCACATTCAAATTACGATGACAACACAGAACAGTAATGTAAGTATCACATAATAAACTGCAGACGGCTTTGTTGCTAAGTAGCAATTTCTTCCAGGCAACCTTAGGATAGAAATTTAAGAATTGAAAAAGAGGCTGAAATCCAAAAACATATCTTCCAATGGAAGTGTTTGAAATAAAAGCACTACTCTTGAAAATTAATAATGTCTATATATAGATCATAATAATACTATATGTATAATAAAATTTACTTCTATCCTGTGGTATTTTTTAAATAAACGTAGGAAAATTATAAGGAAACAAATGAAGGGATTGGAGAGAAAAATTAAATTTAGGACTTGAAGTAAAAAATTAAACGTTGTTTGAAGGAATCAAGAATTGTGTGAATTCCAACACAAAATCGGTTCGCAAATTCGTGAACCACGTAACATAGTGAACAGAAGAGGATAAAACGCTGTGTGTCGCCGCTTTCTGATTTATACATTGTCTTCTACTAAATACACGCTCTAAACTTTTTGAAAAGTTACCCTCACGACTGTTGTATTCAAATAAGCAATAAAAATGATATCATCAAAAATATTGCGAGAATATATAATATTTCATCTCACTAACTCGAAAAGGCTTTCTTTCTCATCAGAAATCTGCGCGCAAAAGCGTTTTTTACATATTAGCGTGGAAGGTTAAATTCGTTAGTATATTTTATTTTTATTATTGTTAACATTACATTGATAAATAATTGTGTTCAATAAATTATTTTCATTCGTCGAAGAACTAAAATAATTTCAATAACCACTTAATCACACAAAATAAAAGTACGAGCAAGAATCAAAATTGATGAGTTGTAAATTCAGAACGCATCCGAAGATAAACTTTTTCTTTTATGTTTCTTTCTTTTCTTTTTCTGATGTTTTATAGTTCAACTGTTCTTTCATCTACCATTTTCCTCGTTATAGTAAGGTGAAAAGTTGTGTGTTTCGCTCGGCGGCAAAGTTGTTTTGCGTTTCGTGACTTATAATAATAACGCACACACTCAACATAGCCCCGCACTAGGGAAACCTTGTGTCGCGGGTGCCATGGACACATACATAGACAATCACAAATTACACCGAAACTCAAGAGCAATAAATGTAGGCCATACAATCGAACCTGGGACCTCTGCGTGTCAGTCCGGCATGGTAACCGTTCGGCCAAGGAGGCAGTTCAAACCCTCGCTACGCTCAGGAAATTACTTTTGGACCTATTTTTGAAATCGTACCTTTGCAGCCGCGCTTAATAAATAACTATTCTTTCTAAAATTAGTCTGTATACAGACTTACAACGAAAGAACGAAAGACTTACAACCATTATTCACACTCGCTACATCTTTCATCTATTCCTTCTGCAGCCTGTACTATTTCTACCAATTAGCGGTCAAATTCCTATTAGTTAATTACTGTTTTTATTAAATAGTGGTTTGAACGCAGCAATGAGCCAAAAGACAGGAAATTAATGATACCGCGTTATTACAATAGGAAATTATAATGTACAAAATTAATAGTATACTTATATAAAAAGGGTTCCATTATTGAATTGCATGTTAATAATATATATTACACGAACTATGGACCGCCTTTATGGCACTTAAAAGTATTTTTTTACAAATTTAAGAAATTCATGCCATTACGAACTCTATGAATTACATTTAAGAGCTGTTACACATGGCGACATTTAGCAGTGATGGAAACGCGATGCAGTAGTGATACTGTAACTAATCGTCTACCTTTACACATACGCGCAACTATAAGCAGCGATGCAAACTCGCCACTGCATCGATACAAACGCGACTACTGTGATTTATAGGCGATTCCATCGATCACACGTTTGTATCGATGCAAATGTGCGTTTGTATCGAAGCAGTCGCGCGTTTGCATCGATGCAATCGCCTACAAATCGCAAGTGTAGCGATACACTCGTGCGTTTCACGAACGCGCATTGCTGCTAACAGTCGCTGTGTGTAACTACTCTAAAACATACCTACAATTTAAAATTTAGAACCAACATTGTCCTAACTATAACGCGTCAAACGCGCCCGTACTTGCAACGTAGTGGTTATATCCTCTTTGGTACTTGCATACAGCAAGATGGAGATCATATTTAAAGAACGTTTGTTCAAGAATTAAATCTTTCTAAATGTAACAAATTATACGAAAAATATTTTTATTAAATGTGACCAACTTCTGCTGTTTCATTGGTGTTTCACTGCTTTTCTTTGGTTACAAAATGATCCTCACAAGAAACTGATTCGATCAGTATTAAAAAAATGTCAATAAGTATTAATAATTTTTACAGACGGCTCACGCTTGAGTAAAAAATGGAAAAAAAGACCTATTAATTCATTAGACAGTTTCCCTGTATCACTTATGGTTTCGGATTTCTCTATACTGTCCTACTTAAAAAAAATACTTGTAATAATATGGTTAACCATACCGCTTCATGGATACAATAAGGATCTATACACTATCAAGTTGCAGAATATAACTCGGGGGGCGAGAACAATATTTACAATTTCCGAATTTTTTTTAACAAACATCGCTCTATGAATATTTACATAGTCTGATAGCAAGTCTAAATCCTAAGTTTTGCGACGTATTTCTGTACATTATTCCCTAATTTATGTATTTACCTAATCAATGCGTTTGATACCTGTAAACCTAAATTTCCGTACCTATATGTATATATTCACATTTGGTGGGTATTGTTTATAATTTAATATTATATTTGTAAACTTACATTATTATTTATATTACTTACCTTCATTACTTACACTATTTACATTATTTGCTTTACATCTTACACTTTTGCTTGATATATATGTATATGTGTGTATAGTATTTAGAGTTAGGTATATATATTTGCGTGTGATGCACTTTGGTGGCATGGCTTACTGGGCTGCGGTCGCTCACCATATGGTACGGGCAGAAAACCAGCACTGTTTGACTTCTCTCGTTCTACAGTATTTATGCTGAGTCAGGGCCATTTCAGCATAAACTGTAGTCATAGGTACATTAAAATTTTATCAGTTCTTATAGTATTTGTTTGTTTTTCTCACAGTATTTGTTTTTCTCGCAGTATGTGTTTTATATAAATGTGTATAAAATTAATAATGAATGTTCTATGTGCTTTTATGTCATACTCTGTGAAGTGATTGTAAATGTTTTGTTTCTGTTTGTATTTGTGCTGAATAAACGTGCTATCTGTCTGTCTGTCTGTCCGTCCGTCCGTCCGTCCGTCCGTCCGTCCGTCCGTCCGTCCGTCCGTCCGTCTATCTACAAAATTAGTTTAAATATGGTTCGCAGTGTGAATATTCTAGAATTTTGTGTTAGGCACGATCGGCTGTGAAAGAATCTCTTAGCTTCTATAGGAGGTTCTATAGGTTGAATAAATCTATCCATTTGAATGTTTGCGATAAATTTGTTAACCTATGTACGTCCTAATTTAAGGCAAAGTGCTCTATGTAGATAAAAACTTTACATAGTTTCGTGGACGTTTTATTCTTCTTAGCGGACTTATTACAAATTCAAATGTTATGAATTGCACTTACACATAATTATAATAAACACAGACTTTTTTGGTAGGTAAATAAAAAAGAATATAAGTACAAGTATATATTTTCTCAACGGACTTTATATTGATTCCCTCAAATCTAGGAATAGATAAAAATTTCGTAATTCAGAGGTTTTCCGCGGTCGCTCTTCATACGCAAATGTAGGAAGTTCATGCCCACACCTCCACCAGTGACATTGCACGATGCGCCGGTATTGGTCATGTCGTAGGCCAGGAAACCCTGAGAATAAACGTGAGTAAATACAGTCTATAGCACGCTCAACTTAATGCTTTGGTTCCAAATTAAGTCGTTAAGTGTTAAGCTGTGCGTGCTTTTGATCCTACAAAGACAAATTACAAGGAGGTGGCAATTCAAAGTCAATTTATTTGTGTTTTTTTTTATTCATAATATTATGCAAATGTCCGAAACTTCTTTTCATGAGTCACTGGGTGTATTTGGCTGGATTGGTGACGGTTGTTTTCTTTGTTAGAGTACCTATTAGGGCGCCTTCAAATTAGACGCTAGAAGCGCTGCAGTGCAGCGCAACTGTGGCGAGGCAGCAGCTCGTTACGTCTTACTTCACTAGCCCATTTACACGGGGCCAATTGACGAGCCATTCCATTAAGCCAGTAGTCTAGTGAAAAAGACATTCGCAACGTCCATCTAAACTACAGCCACTATTACAATAAGTACTTCAACTGCCTCTGTGGCCGAACAGTTACCATTCCGGACTGCCACGCAGAGGTCTCAGGTTAGATTACCGGGACAGGAGAAATATTTGTATGGCCTCATTTATTTAATTTATTTTTCTCGTGAGTTTGGATGTAATTTGTGGTTGTCTATGTGTGTGTCCATGGCACCTGCGATACAGGGTTTCCCTAGTGCGGGGCTATGAGCGTGTGCGCGTTATTAAGTTTCTATAAAATTCTTTACTAAACGACAAGGCAAACTAGTGGAGTGGTTTAGTAATATGAGCCAATTCAATGCACGTGTGGTGGGGTTATTTTTCCGAAAAATTAGAAATCGTTCTAATTTAGTGGATTGTTTTATTACTGCTCTGAAGAGACTCCATAATTTATTGTCGCTATTTACACGACGCCAATAATGGCTTGGCTAAATGGAATGGCTCGTCGATTGGCCCCGTGTAAACGGTCGTTTATCCTTAATGTAAACGTGGCGCACGCGTGTCATGACGGTGAGTGGCACTGCGATTGCACTTCCAAATATTGTATGAAAATGAGTAGTGGCGCGGTTGCTACGCGACTGCAGGGCTTCTATAAGCGGCTAATTTGAAGGGTCACCTTAGTCGACTTAGTTTATTTGGCGCGCGAGTAATAATTTTAACAAATTTTCAAACCCTTTCGAGATCGATCTATTCAACACGAGTTGTGTGTCTGAAGATCTCGGTTCTTTTTTAGCAGTTAAGTAGATATTAATGTTTTCTTGATATAATGTGAGAGATGTATTTTCATGAATTTTCTGGTGCATTATGATCTTCACTAAAATAAAACATTACAATGTTTCATTAAAATGTTAAAGTAAAGCCTACAATATGGCTCGGTAAAACCGCTACGAGACACGAGCTAGAGATTATGACAAATCGATAGACCATTATTTTGCACTGGTGATAGGGTGTTCACTGTAGAACCTACCGGGTGAATAATAACGTCGTGTATGTTTCTACCTCAAAGCAGTATTACTGTGTTCCGGATTGAAGGGTCACCTGAACAATCGCGATTATTATAGCACATGAGACTTAAAATTTTATGTCTCAACGCTTTTGCGATACTCCGATATTAGGGACGCAGCACATTTATTCACACGGAATAGTGCCCTTTACACAGTCATTCTACCGCGCGTGATCAGGAGCGTACAGGATTGGGCGCGGGAATGCCTGCACGTTCATTATCTGCCTGTCCAGTTTGTACTTTTATCCTTAAACTCGAATGTTATTTTATTCCCTTTCGATGGCGGCAATAAACAAACATTAATTGGTATTTTTATTCCATTTGTTACCACTGGTAACTATTGGGATATTTTAAATTCCATTTGTCGCGAGTGGCAAGAACAGATCTTTTTATCCCATTTGTCACGACATGGTAACATATGTTTTTTTTTTCTTTTGTCGCCAGTGGAAATCACCAATGGCAACAACTGAGATTTTTTATTCCGTTTGTTACCACCATGACCACGAATCGTTCGATTGGATATCGAATCGAAGGCGCTTTCTGAGCTTAAACGTTCGATTCGGATTCGGATACGATATTGTTATCCAACAGCGCTTACGAGTCAGTCGGTGAAATAGATTATAAGAAAAATGAAAATCCTTTTTTAAGACTTTAGAGGCTTAAAATATACGAGTGCATTAGTCTTGCATTAAAATAAATTAATAAAATTGAACAAAATCCAGAATTTATTTAAAATGATATGAGATTTCCATTTCACATTCTTGCTTTGTGAAAATTAGGACTTTCGGTAACTTTCATTCGATAACTGTGTTCTGAATAACGTTTGTAGCCTCTACCGGTCGAGAAGTTCGAGTAATCGTACGGGTGTGACGTCATTTCGGTTCGGTTTCGAATACGATAATTTGACGTTCGGTTCGGATGTTGTGAATAAAAATGAAAAGAAATTGGTCGACAACTAAGTTATCGTAAGATTCTGAATCTACCCCCGTGGTAACGTATGGGTTTTTTCCATTTGTCGCCACTGAGAACAAAAGCAGTGGTGGCGACTGGGAATAAAAGGCTAATAGCGCAGGCCGCGTCAAACGGGCGCGCGTTGGAGTATACGATTGCGCGCTGTATTTCCCTTTTCCTTTCAACGTCTGTACACGCGCGCTCAATCGCGTACGATTGCTGTATCATGTGCGATATGTATCGCGTCGGCTACCCGAGCTTGACACTTATTGCATGCTCCGGCTCAAGGCGAAACCGCGTTGATAAGTGTGGTGACTTCCTTAGGAGTGCAAATGTCCATTTTCCGTAACGCTCAATTTATATTGCGAATTTTTGTAACGATATTGTAATTGCCAAAATGTTGGTAACAAATGGTACAAAAGGTGGATTTAATGCTATAAGCATTCTCTACCAGTCAACCTTTGAGGAAAACGAAATTCACAAATGCGGCAAATTAAACAAAATATTAAATTAATAATTTAAATAACGGAAGATGGAATTTAAAAGATGCTCATCGATATTCTTTTTGAAAGAGGATAAATAGGAGACCTTCCGATGGAGTCTGGGAGAGCGTTCCAGAGACGTATTGAATGGAGAGTGAACGAATCAGACATGAAGCCAGAATGAAAGAGAGGTATAGATAGTACAAGAGAGTTAATGGATCGAAGGGGGCGCGGGCGGTCATGAGAGTCACAGAGATACTGAAATTTACATTTCAAGTATTCTGGATAGCGAGGATTTAATCAGTACAGAGAACTAAAAAAACCAACCTCAAAAGTACGTGAAATTACATATAATTACCAAGTTTTATCGAAATCGGTTACCGGAAAGTGCGCAAACCCGGATTCATCCCCTAGTTCGCCACAGGAGATAATAAAAATCGGTTCTCACTATCCAAAGTATATTGAGAGAGAAAAACGCCTTGCATTGAAGAACAGCAAAATCAACCATTAAAATAATTGCTCGATATGCTAAAATTTTGGCGCTATTTATAAAAATGAATCTTCATGCGTGAACAGCTACCCTTAGAGGTGGATGATTTTCTTCAAAATGAAATGGGACCACTGTGGAGGTACCCTTTTCCAACAAAAAAAGAATCATGAAAATCGGTTCACAAATACGAGAGTTATCGCGTAACATACATAGAAAAAAAACATACAGTCGAATTGAGAACCTCCTCCTTTTTTGAAGTCGGTTAAAAAAATGGAGTGCAACGTGCCGAGTCTCTTCTGCCTGCGTAGACGGAAAGGGAAATGTTCCGTGGAATTATCGCGCATGCTCGAGAATGCTCGCGCATTCCGCGGAAGATTTTGGCTCGTATCTAGTTTGGACGTTACACCATTGACGATAAAGTTCATTATGCTATTTAACATCGTTACAAAAATTCGCTTCCATTCCGTTCCGCCGCAATATAAATTGAGCCTAAAGTGGACCGATAGCCTGTAATGCTGATATGTCTAGACAAAATTGCAGTTCATCAGCCTGAAGAGTTTTGAAATCATTTTGATAGTTTAGCTTTTTATTTATTTTATCATGTACGTTCTGCACATTTTATTTTGAAACACATTGTTTTTTGTGGTTTTGTAAGTATTATTATAATATTAATACCTTTAAACAGGTAAATGGTGTTAGTATGACCTAATTGTGGACTGCTTAAAGTGTCACGATGTCACATTTGCGTTTTTATCTCAACTGTGTATTCTTTTTCACCTGACTGTGTTATTAATGCTTATTTACCTATTCTATTTCTATTAACAGAGAACTGTTTTGCTTACTACTGTTTTTTTAATAAGTATTATTAGAGGCCGTTTCAGCCCTTTAAGATAAAATAAATAAATGGACGATAACGGGTTGTCTAGATCGGAAATAGTAGTACTAATATATAAAAATATACATAAGTTGTAACATATATAAGCAGAACTAGTCTAATATGACATTAATATAATTGGAAATTTATCTCACCTGAATATAGCGACCAAGATAAGCAGGCAAATTCGGCATAGTGTAATTCATGTATTCAATCCTTTTTGTGAACATATTTGCACTGTATTTCGCGGTTGTACGGTACAAGAGCTGTTTCTGTACATTTGTCCCCATAAATGTGTGACCGCAATTCACCAGTATCACGGCCAGGGACAAAATGAATAAAGTTGCAAACTTCATTGTCGAGCGAGAGTTCAACAAATGACTGCCGGAGAAAGAATGAAATTGTTATCTAAATGGAAGCCATTTATATGATTAATAATGTACCGTAGGTATCTACCTTTATGTAGTACTTGGCACATATGTACATATATAATTAATGACTAATACAGTCACTATGTAAAGTGTTTTCTCGAATATCGAACAAATAAATTAACAGGCCTTCAGGAATTATATTACATCTTCGTATAATCACATTTTTTTCGTATAATTTTGTCTGATAAGTCACAAGAACAAAATAAGAATTACGTATGAAATATATGTGCACCATGTTTCGAGTAATTTTTAGAAGCTTTAGCTTATGTTAAATATTAGTACGTTCTTATCTATTCAATCTGTAATCGGTATTTTGGAAAACATGATTACATTACTTTTCTACATTGATTAATTACAAATGAAACTATTTCTTTCTGGTTCTTTCTTATTTTTAATTTAGTCAAAAATCATATTCCAATTTACGCGACGTTTATACAACTGTAAAACACCTGATGTAATAAATTTTGTGATAATTAATTAAAATTATCTGTGGGTGAAATAATAGTATTAATTAGTGACGTCATGGTTCACCATACTTGGTCTCAAATTAGGGAATTCTCTGTAGGTACTATGGGTATCAAAGCAAAGGAACTCACTCCGGAGTATTACCCGAAGTACTCAGACTAGAACCAGTTTGAAAAAGTTCGAGTCTTTTTCATATAGTGCCCACAGTTCAAACAGTTGGGTCACCAAGGTCATCAGTAAACTTTGCTAGTACACATACGACGTATTTTATAAGCGCCGACGTAAAGGTACGACGTACGACGCGTAAACGTAAACGTGATTCAAACGCGCAGCATTCGCAGCGAATAAACCGCGCCGCTTAAAACACGCGTATGTATTGCGCATTTTGATAAGATATAGTTTTAATTTGACTTTTACTTTTTAATTTCAGTTAGTTTTTGAAATGAAG